TTTTTTATTTAATTCAAAAAGGAATATTTTTTCGATTTTTTCCCTAAGTATACTTTTGCCTTTGAAAAAGCCGCCAGTGAGCCATAAGACACAAAATGTCAAATATCTCCGAAAAAAATAAAAGATACAACTTTTTACTATTTTTCCTAGATTCGGCACCCATAAAGGAATCTTCTGGAATAGAAAACAAAAGTTATATTTTTTCTATTTTTTCCAACCATAGTTGGTATTTTCAGACAGCCTCTCTTAAGCATTTCCTCTTGGTCAAGATCTGCATTTTTCAAAAAGAATTTACGATTAATTATGATCAGTCATTGAATACAAAAAAGACTTGCATTGGAATGCAAAAGTTATTATCTGAAAATTTATTTAGTTCTTGTGTGTGTATATGTTTTTAGCCACTCAGAATGTAAATTGAACATCATTGATTGTTTAAAATTTTCACTTACCATCATCACTTTCATTGTTGTTATCACTTTCATGATCTTCTGATTCTTCTACTGTTGTCGTGCTTCTTTTGCGATTGGGCATGCTTTCTTCATTTTATGTTGTACTAAACGAATACCAAAASAAAAAAGGCATTACAATCTAGTACTTTACTYTGAACTAGTATCTTCAATGAATAGCAAGGTATCCTTTTGAAAGGCATATGTCAGTAATTAGTATGTATTTGACTTTGAGGATAAMAATATTCATTTACCTTTCCTTTTAACTACGACATCATCAAGTGCGGTTTCTATCAACCTCTCAAGCGCAAGCTGCTTCCCTTTGCATTCCTTTTTGGATCCTGATGATCAGTAAGATACAAACTATTATTATATTCGTTTTTATTCAGAGATTTGAAGATAGGAATAAGAAGTGACATACCAAGAAACATAACTCTGCATGGCCATTGATTTCCCTTGCTGTCTCRGACAGAAACTTTGTCCTTTTCTTTGAACTGTTTTTCAATAATACTTTTTTCTTGAACTATAGAATACTTCTCCTCTTCGGGAAAATAGACCAAGACATGATCTCTAGCGTCTAAAAGAARAAAGATGATATGAAGATAGGCGTAAAGTGAAGTCAGTAGAAAAAATTTAAGCTTATATTGTAGACACAAAAGTCGAAACTATAAACTTTTCTAAGTATAAAATCCTTGTCCAACAAAGAGAGAAACGATCGGTTTCTTACCGCGCTAAAGATAGCCTGAACAGACTTTTAGAAAAATATATAATGTAGGGAGTAGACCAAAAGCCAAAAGTAACTTTTCGTGGTATTATGATAAATTGAACATAATCAAGGTTTATGCCATCAAAGACAAAAATGATAACTATTCTGCAAACCGTGTTCGATCGGCACACACGCACGTGTGAAATCTACAAACTTCTGAAATCTACAAACAACCAAGTTTGCGTTGGTTCGTTGTGTACTAGATTGCTGCTATCACTTAAAGAAGTCGAAAGAAGTTATAATTATTGTTTGATTTTCAATAAAAGTCGGCAAAAGACAGTTTATTTCAAGAAATATCTCAAACAGATCACCACGCGCGCTACAAATGCCGAAGGTGTGAAATCAAAAAATTATCTTTACTAWGTGCTTCTGAAACGTTGATCAAAGAAAGCTAATGGTTTTGAAAGTGTTACGTGGAATTACTTTCCTTTTGGTTGACATTTCTTCTTTATAAGCTACAGATG